CACATAAAGAACATTGCTTTTGAGCAGGATATGATTTTAATGTAGGTGGAACTTCTTCTGATCTTAAAATTGAAGATTCAACTGCTCTTTGTCGAATATGTTCTATATTTTCAACGTGTCTTCTAGCTGATTCTTGCTGTTTTTGAGCTATTTTCTTCTGTAACTCTTCTTGATTTGCTAACTGTGCTGCATGAAGCGCTGATAAGCGTTCTTCTCTATCTCTAGCTTTTTCTCTTGCTAATTCCTAATAAATTATTTTCAATTTAATATTATATTAATTTATTAATCATTTATATTATATCATTATAATCATTATAATCATTTATATAAATACCTGACGTTCTTTTTCTCTTTCCAATTGCATTTTACCAACTCTTTCATCGCGTTCACGACGTGCTTGTTTCATTTTTTGAATACGCAATTGTCGTTCTGCTTCCAAAGCCCGTCTACGTTCTTCAGCTGCAGCTTCTTTAGCTGCTTTTTCTTCTTGTCGGCGTTGGCGCTCTTCTTGAATTCCCTTGAAGAAAACAATAAATTTAGAAAGATTTATTATAATTTTTATTATTAAAAATGTATAAATACTTATAGTTACTTGTAATCTTTCTTCTTGTTCTTGACATAATGCCATAAAATCATGTCTCTTATTTTGTGCTTCAAGTTCATTAATAAATGCAATTTCCTTTAATTTAGAATCTTCATCATGAGCTTTTCGAACTATTTCCAATAAATGTTGTGTTCTATTTTCTTCTGCTTTTTTTAATTTCATTTCCATTCTGATTCTCTTATCTTCTATTAATTGGTTTTTTGCACTTTTAACATCTTTTACTTTATTTAATAATTCTCGCAATCTTTGCGATTTTTCCATTAATAATTTCTGACGTTTATGTTGTGCACAAGCTTGTTTTGCTTGATATCTTCGCAATGTCTCAGGTAATGATCTTTTTCGTGATGGAGATGATAATTTCTGATGTAATTCTAAAGCTCTACCAGGATGACGAGCAACTAATGCACGTAACTGAGCAAGTGTATCTACGCATTCTGCCCAAGACATTCCTTCTAACATATTTTCATACCTATAAAAAATTCTTTTAAATTTAATATTATAAAAATAAAAAATAAAGTAATAAAAAAGTTAGCTCACCTATCTTCTAAACTAACATCATCTGGCATTATATTAGGAGATGTTCTTTGTTCATCTGTTTCAAGTATCATTTCACCATCTGTTTCATCAGTTTCAGTATCAACATCAGTTTCGGTACACTCTAGTTCTAAAATTTGTCTATGTAAAGAAGCTTCTTCATCCGATAATTGTTGTGATCGTTGCGAATCGGCTTCTTCAGTTTTTCTTTCTTCTTCTAAAATTATTCTCTCTCTTTCTGCTTGAGCAGTCATAAATTGTTGTATACGTTTTTCAAGTAATTCTGCATCACTTTTAAAAATAGCTGCAATCATTGATGTAGAATTTATTTCATTTAAATTAACAGTATTCTTGAAAACTTCTTCTACCTTATCTTTAATGGTAAGGTTTACAACTGATTCGCCTTTGACTTTTTGTACCTCGTTACATATATTTTTTCCTTCTTTTTCTACAATACATTTTTTTTTCTGTTTGTTATTTCTATCTAGAGTTAAACAATTTTTTTTATTCTTTTCAGAAGGACTTTCAATTGATAATGCTGGTAATGATGTTGCTGTACTTGGTTTATGAAATCTTGTAGACATATTCAAATTATGTGTACTACCTCTCCTACAACGACTACGAACTGTTTGCCAACCATCAGTTTCTTCTTTTGTTTTAATATATGTTTGTTTTGTTAATACTTCTACTGAACCATTTATATCTCTATTCTGATCTTTTTTTAATGAACTTTGTTCTGAAATCTAATAAACATTTATAATTATATATTATTTATTCAAATTAGTATTGATTATATCAAAAAAAAAAAAAATTATACCTTATTGTCAATTGACTGAAATCGTTGTCTAATTATTACAGATGTGCCAGGTCTTATTTTATTTGAAATTAATGTATTTTTATCACTTAATGTTGTTTTACTTCTAATAAATTTTGGAGTTTCTGAAAGACTTGATTGCTTTTGCTTAACTTTCATTTGTGACACAGTAGAATATGCTGGTTTATTTGTATTAATTGAACTTTTAATTGGATTATTGGAAGATGTATTAGATGTAGATTTTATTATTTTATTATTTGTATTATCATTAACATTTAATTGTCTTTTTAATTTTTGACTAATTTTATTGGAAATTTTTGTAATATTTTGTATATTTTTATTTATTGTAATATTACTATTTTCTTTTGTCACATTATTAGATTCTGTAATTTTATTTTCCATTACATTTTCTATATCAATAGTTTTAATACTTTTTCCTGTACTTTGTCTTTTAACTTTAGCATTGATTTCATTTTTTCCTAGTCCTAAGTCATTTTTAGGACCTAATGGTTTTATTTGAAAATTATTTTGAGAATTCAATTTATTTTCTATATTATTAGATTTAGAAAATTCTTTTTCTGTTGATGTACAAGTAATCAATTGTATATTCTTATCAATAGAAACTATTTGCTCATTCTTCTCAATTATTACATCAGAATCCGTTACTTTGATGGTAGTATAATGCATTCCAGTTTTAACTGTTTTTGATGCACCTTTATCCAATTTCCCTTTTAGGTTACGAGATGAACTTTCATTTGCTTTTTGCTCTGCAATAATACTATTATTGGTTTTAGCAACTGTGTGTTTTACAAAAGTTTTATTTATTTTTATTGAAGTTAATTTATCTTTATTTAATGACTGAATCGTTCCTTTATCAGTTGCATTTTTATATTTTTCATTCATTATATTATTCTTGGAAATATTACTTTTATTATCTTTTATCAATTTATGCACAGATTCTCCTTTTACATTACAATTTACATGATTTATTTTATTGTCTACAGTAACAGATTTACTCTCTGAAATAATCTGATCAATAGGACTTCTACAAAGTGATTCAGTAGGACTCATTCTTTGCAAAGGACTATTGGATTTTGGAATCATTGTTGAATTCCAGATTCGACAAGGAGAAGTTTTTCTAACTTCCCAAGCTAAAGGAGTACGTCTTAAAGGAGGAGGTGAATTTTCATAAGCCCATTTAACTTTAAACCATTCAATTAAATTATGAAAATCTCTGGTATAATTCTCTAAAACTAATATTACTTCTTTGCATTCAGAAATATTTTCATCTTCTTCGCATGTTTGATAAATACCATCTACTGCTCTTTGCAAATTACCAAATAAAAATGCCCAATATCTTGCCTGTAATTCTAATATAAAAAAAAAGGAAAATAATTTAAAATTTATGAATTTGAAATTTTTAAAAAATAATAGTAATAAAGATATTAAATGCAAAATATTTATTTAAAAAAATTAAATATATAAATTATTAAATTTTTGATTTTATGAATTTTAATTTACCAGATTTTTTATCTCGACCTGTGGAAGCCGATCTTACTCTAGTTGTTGGTTTCATAGATCTTTTAGAAGTATTTGCTTGTGATACTCTTGGAACACTAGGAGGTTTTTTAGTGATCTTCTCAGTATTATTTGTTCCAACTGGTACATTAAAAGCTATCAAATTTCTAGCTGCCCGACCTTCTTCTTGTATAAGTAATCTTACATCAGCCATTTTTAATTAAATTCTATAAGAAAATTATAATTAAATATTATTTATTCAATTACAGATATATATTTAAACATAGTTTATATGCATTAAAGTAAAAATAAAAGAATAGATTAAAAAGATTTTAAATATTAAATTTTAATAATTCATTGATTTCATTAGGAATATTACAAATATATATTTTTCATATTAAATAAAAAATTTAAATGATAATAATTTAAAAAAAAAATTTTATGTACAAAATTTTAACTGTTTTATAATAAACTGAGAATTTTATATTTTATTGTAATTTAAGGTTATATTATTATCATACATTCACATTTTAGATATCACAAAGAAACAAATAATTATTATTATATATAAATAACTAATTAATCATATATTAATAATGTTATCAATATTATTTATTGTTATGATACAATCAATAAATATATTTGTATTTTCATAATCTATATACTATATATACTGCGTAAGTATCATAATGATCATCATAATGATTATATTTTTAATTCACAACTTACCTTTATTATAATTACAAATTACAATTACAAATTATCAAAGAACGGTTGACTATAAATTGTTTTCAAATAATAAGAACTCCGAATTGACATTTCAATAATGATACAAGACATTTTATAATAAATATCGTCTAAGTTTCGCGGCAGTTTGTTGGTTGCACTGATATTGCTGCATTAAACACTGCAATCGCGTTATTGAGTTATAAATATACTGATTAAAATAATATCATATTGCATTAATACTATAAGACTTTAAATTATTTTTCATTTTATTAATTATATACTTTAACAATTCAACCAAGAAAATATATGTATTTTATTTATTTATATATTTAGTATCTTATACACTTATACTTTATATTTATAAAGTATCTAAATTGAATTTTTAAACAACTTTTATTATAATTTTTATCATAATTTTAACTTTATATTTTTTTAAATAATATTATTATAATATAATTTATTAACTATAATAAAAATATAATAAAAATATTGTCTTATTTTGAGAATAATATATAATATCTAGATAATAATTTTTTGATTTACTAGCAATATATCAAATCAATAAAAATTATAATTTAAAAAAAATAAATTTTATTAACTGATATTTTAAGAGAAATAGTAAAATACAATTAAAAAAATGTTTTTTTTTGAAAGAATTTTGAATTCTTATTAGTTATCTTAGAAATTGAAGTAAAAACTACGATGAGAATAAAATTATCCAAATTTATAATAAAAAAAAAGCTTATAAATGTATATGAATTATTTAAATTTAAAAATTATTTTTTACGTTGACAAAAATGATATTTAGAGATTATTAAATTGGTTTACGCAGTGAATTCGTATACAGCGCCATCAACGCGTGATAAGATGAATCGCGAGAAGCGGTTGCGAGGACTGTAACTCACATTTACGTGTGGAAATTTAATTAACACTACGTTACAGTATCTCTTTGGGGTTGCAACATAGATCCCAAGCAGATTTTTGAAGTCGGCTTTAAAGCCGATTATCACGAAACACAAAAGTGCTACGAAAATAAGATTAAAAATCGATTTCGAGGTTTCTAGAAGAAAAGGCTACCATAGAGGCGGACAATCTGCCACACTTTGCGGGGTGACGCGGGGATATTTTCAGATAATCGTACGTATTTTACTGATATATGTAAATCTTTCTTATTTGAAACTTTTTTATATAAATGAGAAACTTTGTATACTTTAGTTTTACATGATACGTGATTTCGTGCATGAATTCTTTGTTTACGCATATGCAGTAATGCTGCTTTCAACAGCTTTGAAGGTTGGCAGAAATATTTCGGCAAAAATTAAAATATTATTCTATTATTTGTTTTCTTAATAATTTATTTGGTTTCATTATTAATCATACACAATAAATCATTCATTTAATTGTATATAATAATATAAAAATTATTTGTTTCATTATATTTAGCGTGACAAACTGTCAATTTACAATAAATGAACTTTAATTATTAGAATTATTAGAATTATGAGATATTTATATAATTTAAAATTTTTAAAACTTAATTTTTATTTATAATGTATATGATATTTATAGAAATAAAAAAAATTCTTTGATAACCTAAATTTTCTTATGTTAATCATGTTTAAATTATAATATTATATTTATAAATATTATATATTTTTCAATGTGTTTAACTAAAAATATCAATATATTTATTTGTTTTTATATTTTTATATTTATAATAATTTTATATAGGTTTTATAATCATTATTTTAATATGTTTATGCTTTATTTATATTTATATTTATATGAATTAAAATATAAAATAATTTTAATATACATTTAATTAAGTAAAACATATTAAAAATTATATTATTAGTTTACTTGTACATCTGTATTAATGTTATTAATTGTTTATTATAATTTTATTTATATTTTTATAATAACTTATTAATAATTATTGCATTATTTATAAGATATAATATTTATATAAGTTACAAAATTATGTTATTTAAGTATAAGTTTACAAAGTTTTTCAACATTGATAAGATAATTATGTTTCTAGTTTGAATATATTATTAATCAGGGAACAAATAAGAAGATGCATAAGAATTTCTTTTAGAGATATTTCATCAAACATGGCTGCGCTACCAAGGAGAATTATTAAAGAAACACAAAGATTAATGCAAGAACCAGTTCCTGGTATCAGTGCTGTGCCAGATGATACAAATGCTAGGTATTTTCATGTAATTGTAACTGGACCTGAAGATTCGCCATTTGAAGGTGGACTTTTTAAACTTGAATTGTTCCTACCAGAAGACTATCCAATGTCTGCTCCTAAAGTTAGATTCATTACAAAAATTTATCATCCAAATATAGACAGGTAATGTTGTAGTTATTATTTTTAAAAAATTAAGTTTCTTAAAAACAATAAATCAATTAAATTGAATTCTGTATTAATGTAAATATTTTAATTATTATTAACTTGTAATATTAATTTCTAAACTATGTTATCTTATATAATATAATATGTGAAATAAGATAAATAAGATTGAAACTAGAAAAATATATGTTTTTTTATATATTTTTTATATATTTACATTAATATTTCAAAATTATTTATATTTGCTATATAGACTGGGCAGGATTTGCTTGGATATCCTTAAAGACAAATGGAGTCCTGCTCTTCAAATCAGAACAGTTTTACTATCAATACAAGCACTTTTAAGTGCACCAAATCCAGATGATCCTTTGGCAAATGATGTAGCTGAACTTTGGAAAGTAAATGAAAGCGAAGCAATACGTAATGCCAAAGAATGGACTCGGAGATATGCTATGGACAACTGATCTTAGATCATCCATGATGCAAAGTGATGTTACCCCTTTCTTTCCGAGTTTACCGATCACTTTACTCGCACCAGCTGAGTACCCTGCACCTGTGTCCACAATTTTGCTATAAAAATAATAAAAGTTTTGTAAGAGTAAACAGAATGAAACTGTATTTTCTATATTGTGGGGAATACAAAGATGTCGTGTTTAGATTTCTTCAACGGTTTGTGAAGCAGATTTGTCAAGAATCTTCTAACATTGAACAACATCAATCGTAAGAAGATTCCTATTTCAAAAGAAAAAGGTATAATTTTAATGGATTACTAGTTTTTACTTAAAAATATACCTTTGTAGTAAAAATAAGTGAATGTAGTATGTTGCGTCAACATTTTTTTAAAATATTACAGAATGGCTTGTGCAATCAGTAATTTATAGCCTTTATTTTGGTACCTTTAATGTATCCCTAAAAAAAAGCAGTTCTAGGTCGCTCATTATATTATACTAATATTACATTTTTCTGTATTTTACGGAATGTTTTCGAATTGGTAATACAAGATGGAAATGAATCTATATGAAAAAATAAATTGAAAATACGGAATAAAATTTCTTTGTACGGAGCTTTATTTTCAAATAAATTGATGTTAAAAATTTGTGTAAATATACATAACTTATGTCTGAAAGATATATTGGTTAAAAGATATTATTGTATTCCTTTTGTTATTTGAATTTATTAAATTAAATAATTAAAAAAACAAACATTGAAATACAATTATTTTTTAATCAAAAAATTTTTTATGAATGTAAAAATTTTCATTTTTGTTAATCATTTATGATATTAAGCTATCGTATATGTTAAATTGTTTTGATATTTTTATCATGCAGCATCTTCATTCATTATTTCATTTATAATATATTCAAATATAAAAGAATTCGACATATGATTTTATTTATCTTTAAATTTAAGTATTTCAGTATAAGCTCTGTATAAAAAAATGTTATTCTAAATTTTTGAATTATTTTTTCATTTCGATTTATCCTCTTTTGATTTGTACCACCATATATAATATATCGGAAATACTCTGTATTATGTCTACTAACTGGTTGTCTGATAATCTTAATGTATTTATCATTTCCACGAGTGTACGACGTTGGATGAAAGATATGATATTGAATTAGAGATCGATATGGCATTTATTTATGTATTAACTATGAATTAACTACTTCATATATGTATATATATATATTATAATATAATATACATATATGTATGTAATAAGCGTACAAACGTATTGAAGTTATCCATGAATGCGAAGTTCCATTTTTGAAGTATATAACTATAACTATTGTAATAATTATCTATTGCAGATTTTTATTTATCAGTATAATGTAAGACAAAATGTTTTGAATATTCATAAAAACTTCTCATGATTTGACTTGAAAATTCTTAATTGACAAGATATTTTGATATTCACATTTCGATTCATATTATTATTATTCAAAACGAAAATATAATTTCGAATAAAAATTAAATGATTTCGAAGTAGTATTATTGATGATTATTAATTTTTTTTGCAAATAGATATATAATCTATAAAGGTCAACTTTCTTTTTAAAATGGAATATTTTGTTTTTTGTTGCATTAATAAATGCAACTTATCATATAAAAAATTATTCTAATAATAAATCTCTTATAATAAAAAAAAAGATTGTTAATTTTGAAAATATTTTATTTTAAAATTTATCATAGTATAAATATAAGTTTCTTATTTAAAAAGTAAAAGTATTAATTAATTTTATATTTAAAAAAATTAAAAATACTTATAATAATAATTTTTTAAAATATATAATATACTTCTTTCATAATACTTCTTTTATTAAAGAATATCAAAAATTAAAAAATATATAATTTTTGATGATGATTTAGAAAAATGAAATTGTCTTTTATAGAATTTTTATCTGTTCATCTACAATAAAATTACATACATCTCTCAAAATCACTTAACTTTTATATGAAATATTTCTCGTTATAAATAATAATAATGATGTAAATCAAAATAATAATATCAAATGAGATATCCTATATATAAACATCATCTTTCCTATGATTATGTTAATCTATATTTTTACTGTGTAAATATACATACGTATATATAATTAAACGAATGAAAACTTTTAGATAGTTTTTTCATTTTTTTTTTTAAATTCTTTTGGAGATATAACAAGATATAACATATAAAAATAAGATATAACAAGAATAGAAATTAAAAATGAACTGTCTTATTTTGCGCAATTTATATTTAATAAATTGAAAATAATTTGAGAAAATTAATAATATGAAATTAAATACTTTTGATAATATACAAAATTTTAGTTTGAATACAGAATGTTTAAAATTGCGAACAAATAGAAGTGCCCATTCTTACCTAGTGTATATTTTGTAAAAATATTCTAATCATACTAATGTAATTAGAAGATATAATTTTACTTACAATAATTATACCATTACATTGGTAATGAAATAGGCTACTTGCTTTCAACAAATGCCTAATTGTTGTTAAGCTTTGCTACATTTCATAATTTTTTGCTTAGAAGAAGTATAAAAAACTGAAAAATACCAGTAAAAATCTTTTGTAAAAATCTGCGCAATATTTTTGATGATATTTAAATATAAATATAATGAAGAGAGATAACATAATGAGTAACATAAAAAAAAAAAAATTAAAATTTCTTGTTGCTGATTAATTGAAGTACTCTATTACATTTAATCCAGTTTTTCTTATATTTTTAGATATGATTAATATCATTTTAGATAATATACTTGACAGATTTTTTCACTCATTCAATGAATGAGAATTATAAAATTTTAATTTGAGAGTCATTTTTTGAATGATATGAAGACTAATAAATAGTCTCTTTTTTCTTTTATCATGTAAAAAATGAATGGTAATTCAAATTATTATTTTGATGAAATAATTAAATTTTTAATGTATATTAAAGTTTTTTTAATATTTATTTCTTCTATGAAAAATTTAATAATTAAATAAAAGTAAATTTAACATTTAATAATAAAAATAAAACACATTTTTTTTCATATATTATAGATATCATAATTTCATTAATTAGGATTTTACTTTCATATTTAATAATCAATTTTTTGATTCTATTTTTAAAAACTTGCTGTAATTGATTATTATTTTATTTTAGGATATATAAATATAATATTTTTCAATGTTTTTAAACAATGGCGTTTTAAATAATTAATAGACAATTAAAATAATTATAGAAGAAAATAATTAATAGAAAGACAAATTCTATTATTCATATTGCAAATGTTTTAATTATAGTTGTTTTACTAAACAAAAAAAAAAGAAAATTTAATAAATGAAATAAAAAAAACAAAATAGATAATATTCAAAATTTATTCATATTCGCATTCCTATAAACATTCAATTTGATCACATTAAATAATTTAATAATTAATAATTTCAATAGATTTACTTTTTTAATAAAAAATACTAATAAAACAGCACATAATATGCAATTAAATATATTTATTTAAAAAAAAATGTATAAATAATATGAAAAATTGACAAAATTAAATTATTTATTGGAATAAATAAAAATTACTTATTACTTAATAATTTGGAATATCTTTTGTGCATTTATAAACATTAATAAATCAATATATAAGGATTAAAATATTGTTCATTTAATTCTATATTGATTGAAATTATTAATAAATCTTTAATTTATATTAAAGAATTCGAACAACCAGTTGGTATGTACATATATTTTTAAATTAATTAATTCAAAAATTTAAATTTCTCTATTACATTATTAGTATTTTAATAAAAATGGAATAATAATGATATTTAATTTAGACATGCTAAATGGATACTGGGATCGGTTACGCGAAAAGAAATTATATGTAGATAATTTGCAATAATAAAGAAGTTATTACAAATGTGTTATAAAGCAATATTAACATACTAATATATTGCTGCCAATTTTCAAATGTATATATAATTTATATTTTAGAATCATAATGGAAAAAAACTTAAATAAAATTAATAAATTTCAAATTAAAATTTTTTTAATTAATATATATATTAATTAAAAATGGAAGAGATAAATACTAACTAACTCAAATCTGAATAAAATTTAAAGTTTATTAATAAAACAATTTTCTTATACAAAATAAATCTTTGATATTCCATAAAGGTTTTAAATAAAAATTATATTTTTAAAAATACATAATATAATTTTTTCAAAATTAGAATTGTTCTTTTTAGAATGTTAAAAAAATAAACAAATTGATAATATCTTAAAAAAACAAATAAAGTTATAGTTTATATTTTTAAAATTATGAATTGTTATTTTAGGAACAAAAAATAAATACGTGTAATTTATGGAGTCAAATCCGAAAATTATTAAAATTGAGATGAAAACTTTAATTTATTTAATAATTATTTAATAATTTTATATTATTTCTTCTATATGATATATATATGATTATATGATAGAAAAGAAACACGATTTACATTTATTCTAATACTTATTTATATTTTATTTTATAAATCTAATTTTAGAATATAAAAAAAAAAAATAAATAATCATAAATAATAAATATTTACATTATTTTAGGAAAAAAATTTAATTAAAAAAATAACTTTATAAAAAACAAAATAAATTAATGTTTATAAAATTTTTGTAATTTGTTAGAGAGTTCTATATCTTATGTGTTAATATTAATATTTATATTTAGTGATAATTATTTAGATGTTTTATATCATTATTATAATACATTATGTTACAGATAATCAAATATGTTATAGTTTTTTAATCTCATGTATTAGGTTGTATCACATAAAGTTGCCAATTTTAGAATAAATGACAATCAACTGCGATTTAATCTAGTTAATCTACTTAACCTATATTTTGCTTATCATTTTGACGTTGTCTTCTTATATTTCTTTTATGTAATAAATTGTTTTTTATATTAGTTTAATTGTTTTTTGAAAAGTGAACAATATGATATCATCGAATGAATTTAAAATTATTCCTGTATGAATTTAAACTCGATCAGCTGAATCATATCGAAATATTAGGTTAACTTTTGGAGAAAATTCTATTAATGAAAGGATCGCTCGATGGTGGTTTCAAAAATTCAGATCTGGAAATAAGAATCTTAAAAATAAGCTTCGAGATAGACCGAAATTCATATTAAATAAAGATAAATTAAAAGTCAAAATGAAAGTTAATCCACAAACAAATATTCGCAGAATTAGATATATCTTCAATGATAGTTTTGAAACATTTAAATGCAATGAAAAAATTGAAAAAATGGGTACCGCACTGACAAAAAATCAAAAATGATATTTGGAAGTTCTTGTCACATAAAACTCAAACAATAGAAATCTATTTTTGA